TTTTTTTTTTTTTTTTTTTTAAACAGAGTCTCACTTTGTTGCCTGGGCTAGAGTGCCGTGGCATCAGCCTAGCTCACAGCAACTTCAAACTCCTGGGCTCAAGCAATCCTACTGCCTTAGCCTCCCAAGTAGCTGGGACTGACTATAGGCATGTGCCACCATGCCCAGCTAATTTTTTCTATATATTTTTAGTTGCTCAGCTAATTTCTTTCTATTTTTAGTAGAGACGGGGGTCTTGCTCTTGTTCAGGCTGGTCTCGAACTCCTGACCTTGAGCAATCATCCCGCCTCAGCCTCCCAGAGTGCTAGGATTACAGGCGTGAGCCACCGCACCCAGCCTAGAGTCAAGGTTTGAATCCAGAACCTCTCACTTTAATGTTGCCCTTTCTATTATACCACAACTATCTCATCCATAGTGAGACTCCTAATGGCAGGCACATGGCAAATACTTTTTCAGTTATAAAATGATGCCTGTTTGTTACTGTTATCAGTTATTTTAACTCTTGGAATAGTCTGTCTCACATTTATATGAAAAATTGTCTGCTGGCCATTTTTGTTTCCATAGTGTCTAGAATTACCAAGTAGATTCATGTTATCTTTGATATTTACCCCCCTTTTTCATTCCTAGTTCCCTTGTCCTTTAAAACCTTAACAATCAAAGAGTATACAGGATTCATAATCAAAACATCTCTCTGTGTTCCTCCAGTTTGCTTTACTTGTATATTTAATCTAAGATCCTTCTGTAGGAAGCCTTCCAGAGAGGCAGGTTAGTCAGCAGGTCTGGGACATGGGTAGGAACTGAATCCTCATCTGGTAGCAGACTAGGCTTGAGTAGAGAGGCTGCATAAATGCTCTTCCTTTCTGGTTCTGCTGCTGTAGGCTTGTCAGGATGTAACAGTAGATCGTATTTTGTTTTCCCAAAGGGACTTTTGGCACTCAGGAAGAATAAAAGTGCCCCTAAGCCAGAATTTAAAGGCAGAGTGTTTGTCTCTCTTTGGTGCTTTCACTAACTCTATCCTCTCACACCTCTTCAGTGAACTTCTACACATATCCTGCTGTCTCCCATCTGCTTAGTGCTTTGTTGCGATTTGGCAGCATAATATCTTCTTCTGTCAGATGATTAAAGGATTTTTAAGGCGTTACTTCTTCAAACTTCTTAAGTCTTTCAGATCTTAAACTCAGGTCCCAAATCCTCGATTTTCCATTGAACTTAATGCTCTCATGGACTCAGTGGCTCTACTTAAATACTGCATTATTTGTGTACATTTTATTTGAAAGTTTCATGATGTAATATTCACATATTTCATTAGGTGGCAGCATATAACTACCTAGATGGATATCTGATTTCAGTTAAATTAGTGTTTGGAGATTGAATTACTATGTTTCTTTTGTTCACTTCTCACCCTTTTTCTGTGTCTCAATATGTTACCGTTTGTAAATAGCTCTTATGCCTTTTATGAAATAATTATTGTTTTTGATTAATTAGGTGATTTTTCATACTAAGCTCTTTTTTTCTTTTCTTAATAAACAGGTGGGAAATACACTAAGAGTGATTTCAAGGAATATGAAAAAGAACAGGATAAACCATCTAATTTGGTTCTGAAAGATAAAGTAAAGCCCAAACAGGAGTATCCTTAAAAAGAATCAGTTAGTCAATATGTATTGACCATGCATTATGTGTATATAGTACTGTGTGATATGTTATAGAAAGTCATGAAGGCTATAGAAGACAAGGTTCCTGAAGTTGTTTGTGAAGTAATAACTTAGTTTATCGTTACCTCTTTTCAATAGTTTGTCATTATCTCTTTTCAAGGTCTTAAGTATACTCTTTTTCATTGTACTCTAATGTATGGAGAAAGTTAGAGTTGAAAGAAATAAGCCTAATTCTTTTACCTTCCTACTCTTAGGTTAAATGCTTACCATATTCTCAGAAGATCTTTGGGTAAGAATTGTTATTACTGCTAAGCTAAATCCGTTGTACTAACTTATTCTTTTATAATATGTTTAACTTCCTTATCTAGATAACAAAATCCTGTAGTTCTCTGTTACAAGATTAGATTACTTTCTGCACAGTACATTGTTGTTTCACAAACATACTGGGCTCCTATCAAATGCAAGAGTTGACTTTTATAGTATTAAAAAGAAGTTCATAGACTTGCCCATTTAACTCAGATTCTTCCAAGTTTTAGGTTGAGACAAGTAAAAAGCAATGAAACATACTGTTTCTATTATGTCATTTTAATTTGTTCAGTGATTTTTCCTATTATAAATCTATCACTCCACACTTTGCAAAGGTGATTTCTTTTGTGATTCTTTCTGGTGAATGGTGTCTTTGTTTCCTTGTTTCTGTTGGTATTTCAGGGTTTTTTCCCCCCATGCTATATAGACATTTCTAAGTATTCATCAAAGAAAGATGAAAATCAGATTGAACTGTTGTATATTCATGTTTTAAGGTGTGTTGACTGTCTGCAATGCATAAAGTATTGTGAAGTGTCAGAGCTGGATAAAGTCTGAAGGGTACTGACAAAATCAGCATGAGGAGAGTCTTTCACATTCAGACAGACCAAACAAAAGCTGAGATTTGGTCCAAAAAGATGAACTTTAGAGAACAGAGGATTGAAAGCTCAAAATCATAAAAGGTATCGATGGAATACACTTGAGATTTATTTACCAAATCTTTGAAATTAAATTTAGGCTAACCACTAATAACTGCAGCTAGAAGAAGGGGAGTGTGTAGGACAAATAAAAGGAAGTACAGGCTGGGCACGGCAGTGGCTCACACCTGTAATCCCAACACCATGGGAGGTTGAGGCAGAAGGATTGCTTAAGGCCAGGAGTTCCAGACCAGCCTGGAAACATAGTGAGACTCTGTCTCTGCAAAAAATATTAAAACAATTACCGTGTTTCCCCAAAAATAAGACAGGGTCTTATATTTATTTTTCCTCAGGAAGACACCCTAGGGCTTATTTTCAGGGGATGTATTGTTTTTTTTAAGAACAGTACATCAATCAACATTTAGTCAAATATAGTTAAGTCGTCATCTTCTGGAATATCATCATAACTCTCCAAATCCTGAATTCCATCCTGAATTTCTTGGGACTCTATTTCCTTTAGAACCACTGGCCCCAATCTCTCATGTCGAGCAATAAAGCTCGCACCTTTCTGGTCACCTCTGGGATAGTAGCTGTCAAGATAGGGCAGATGAGAAGGGGAAAGGGCAGATGATAAGGGCTGTTCATCTTCTTTACTGCTCTGCAACGAAATGCATGGGTTGTGCAGATACACTGCTTAGCCACGCCCATCACTAGGTCTTATAATCACTAGATCTTATTTTCGGGGTAGGGCTTATATTGCGCAAATGCTTAGAAATCCTGCTAGGGCTTATTTTATGGGTAGGTCTTATTTTCGGGGAAACACAGTAGTTGGGCTTGGTGGCATACACATGTAGTCCCAGGTACTCAGGAGACTGAGGCACAAGGATCACTAGAGCCCAGGAGGTCAAGGTTGCAGTGAGCTATATTAATACTATTGTGCTCCAACCTGGTCTAGACCCTTTCTCAAAAAAAAGGAAACAAAAGAAGTATAATTGTAGAGCACGAAGTACAGGGAGGCATCTTTTTTTCTCTAGAGGTAGTTCAGGCTGAAAAGAATGAATACATAGCATGAAAATGTTTTAAATTCAAGAGAGTAGATTACTAAGGATTAAGAAAGGAAACTAGGCATGTTTGAGGAAAAAATCTCTGGTTTAGTAGTATTAATAGAATTTTCTGCAATGATAGAAATGTACTATATCTCCACTGCCCAGTATGGTTACTCATATAGCTATCGAGAATGTAAGATGGACTGAGGAATTGAATTTTAAATTTTATTTAATTTCAGTTAAACCATCACATATGCCCATATTGAACAGTATAGCTTCTAGTTTTTTGAAGTTGATGTAGAAGACAGGCATATCTTGGTACAAACCACTGTTAATCATTCTCAAGTGATTAATGGTATTTGGAGCAAAAAAGAAGAAATTCATGAGTCTGACCCAGTGGTATAATCTTTATGTTCTTGGTAACTGATAAATTTCATTTTAGTGACGCATTTATAATTTTAGGTAGAATAATAGAAGGACATTTAGAACACAGGTTTATAATTGTAAGATTCTCTCTTTCTTATTCATATTATATGTTATTTTGTTACTTATGGCAAGGGAGGAGGTTTTAGGGGATAGTCTAATGTATAGATAAGTTGTTTTAAGTCAATTAAAAAGGGGATGGTGGGATATACCTTATGAGTCTTGAGAGAAAGAGAAATTACTATAAATATAGATTATTAATAAGAAGGAAAGTTTCTTTAACATGACCCAACTAACTAGACCTTAGGCATGAAATTGGCCAAGTGTCTTGGTGGCATAACATGTAATCAGCAAATTCTTTTTTTCTTTTTATTTCAAGATATTAAGAGGATACAAATGTTTTTGTTACACAGATACACTGTTTAGTGCTGAAGTCAGGGCTTTCAGTGTACAACAAATTCTTCATTAACATCTGTTACATACCCAGTTTACTCAGTCCCTGCCCATTGGAGCTTACATTTTATTGTTGGAGTAGGGGGGAAGAACAGACATTAAATAATTACTATTAATTAAAAATGTCTAGAGTATTACAAAAAAGAACATTTGTGGAATGTGGGACTTATAATAGAGGGCGGGCAAGTAAAACTAAAAGAAGTGTTCTTAAAGCTGTGACTCAAATGTGGGAGAGAGGAGGGCTGAGGTAGGATGCTATTTTCTTTAACTGTTATCTATCATTTAAGAAATACAGTTTATATTTTAACCCAGTAGTCACAGTACAATCATTAACATGTGCACACACAATTGAAACAAAATTTTATAAAATAATATTAGGTATCATGCACTCTATTCTATATTTTAAAAATTATATTTGTGACCCGCTAAATGGATTTTGTATTCCTTGCTGGATTATGATCTTCAGATCAAAAACACTGCTCTAAAGAAATTTGGACAGAGGAAACAGCATCTGCAGAGCACATATTTAGATCAAATCATATGCAAGGGATATTGAATTTATGTCTGAAAGAGAAGATCCAGAAGATAGATAGGCTGGGGCTGGGTGCAGTGGCTCACATCTGTAATTCTAGCACCTTGGAAAGCCAAGGTGGGAGGTTTGCTTGAGGTCAGAAGTTTGAGACCAGCCTGAGCAAGAGCAGGACCCCATCTCTACAAAAAATAGAAAAATTAATCATGCATGGTGGTGCATACCAATAGTCCAGCTACTTAGAAGGCTGAGGCAGGAGGATCACTCAAGCCCAAGAGTTGGAGGTTGCTGCAATGAGCTATGATGACACCACTATACTCCAGCCTAGCAGCCTGGGTGACAGAGCAAGACCCTGTCTCCAGGAAAAAAAAATAGTCTGGAAACAATGTGGCATAGTATAATGTAAAGGAGAAAAGCAGTTGGAGATAATGGAATCATAATAGGATGGTATGGCTGGCTAACCCTCTTTAGCCATCTTGTGGGAAGCTAGAAAGGACAGTGTTTTCTTATTTGATCTTCTGTAGAAGTGAGACATCCCTGAGGAAAGCATTGATCAGTGGCACTGTGACTTGAGACTCTAAGGGAAGTGTGTCTGCATTTATTGCAGTCCCACGTGCAACTAGAATAGCTCTGCCTGTTGGACTTCCTCATAGCTTGCTTTCTGAAAACCATTATTCTAGCTCGTGCCAGCCTTCCTCAAAATCCATCTTAGAAAAGTTGAGATTATTTTCAGCGGAGGTTGTAATCATTTTATATTTTCTCTTATTTTGAGACAGTATATTAGAGAAAACAGTTATCTGTGAATTAAAGCATTAAAATTTTTATAACACATTTATGTGAAATTTTAAAAAGATTCTCTCATAGTTATATCACCTAGACAAATGATACTTTTTATGTCTCCTTTTTCCTTTTAAGCTTTTATCTTTTGTAAAGTTCTACTTGTATGGTATATGCAGTTTTTGCTTCAAGCTCTTTTCACTTTTAGTTTTCGTAAATACCTTTCCAGGTTTTCTCATAGCATTTGTCATTGTTAGTAACCTCCTATATAATATTATACATGTTGAAGTACTATTAATATAATGCATTTAAGTATATCTTTATTACTAGATATTTTGTTGTTCCCACTTTATCGCATTAAAAATAATCCTATTATGTATGTCTTTGTTCATTTAACTTATTTAAATTTTTTAATAAATTCTTACTAGAATGTAAATAACAATAGGATTGAACTAAAGGGAGAGTCATATGAATGCACCTATTTGTTATCTTATATGCTTCTCTGGCATTGGAGTTTATGATATCTTAATTTTTTCCAGTTAAAGATTTACCTCATTTTTTAAGTTTAAATTTTTTCATTATTGACAAATGTGTTTCCTTAATTTTTATGCTACTTATATTTTCGTTTGTGGATGTAGTTTTATTTTCCCCTCTATATTTTTTGCCTACTAGTTGTTAATTGTTCAAGATCAGTGTCCTTTTCATCTTTCCTGACTATGTGATGAAAGAAAACATAATTTTTATTTTAAAAATGTACTCTATGCTTTTTAGATGCTTTTGCTTTAAAAAGTTACCTTTAGCTTTATGATCTCCTTTTATGACCTCCTTTGTTTACCAGATTCTTCTATTTGATGTCTTACCAGTGTTATTTCTTATATTTGTCCTTAACTAACTGTTGCAGTGCAAAATACGATCTTATACTAGATGAGCAGGCAGAAGACTCAAAATCAAGTCACTCACACACAAGTAAAAAACACAAGAAGAAAACCCGTCACTGCTCTGAAGAAAAAGAAGATGAAGACTACATGCCAATCAAAAATACCAACCAGGTACTTCTCATGTCCAGACTTAGATGTGGAGAAATAAACATTTTACCCTTTGTAAATTATATCTTTTTTTTTTTTTTTTTTGAGACAGAGTCTGGCTTTGTCGTCCAGGCTAGAGTGAGTGCCGTGGCGTCGGCCTCGCTCACAGCAACCTCAGACTCCTGGGCTCAAGCAATCCTGCTGCCTCAGCCTCCCGAGTAGCTGGGACGACAGGCATGCGCCACCATGCCCGGCTAATTTTTTCTGTATATATTAGTTGGCCAATTAATTTCTTTCTATTTATAGTGGAGATGGGGGTCTCGCTCTTATTCAGGCTGGTTTCGAACTCCTGACCTTGAGCAATTCGCCCGCCTCAGCCTCCCAGTAAATTATATCTTAATGGTGTAATTTAGGAGGTAATGGATAGCTCTGAACAGAGATAGAGATATTTACAACTCTAAAATGTAGAATGGTTACACTGGGGTTTACACTGGGGTACTGGACTAATTTTCAAAAATATATGTCACCAATTATAAAAGATTGTTTTTGAAGTAACTTAATGTATCTGTGTCATAAACTTCCACGTTGTGAAGCAAGAGTGATTTCCATACCTGTGGATACTCATTCCAATTAAAAAACAAGTATGATTATGCTGAAAAGTTCTTCTCATTTATCTGCTTATCACCAAATGTTATATGTAGTACAGCTCTTGAGGTTTTATGGCATCTAAAACATTTATGCCCTTCCATATTGTATATAAGAAATAAAAACACTAATAATTCTCTTGATCATCCTATAAGCTCTCCTGAACAGCATATTTTTAAAAACAATAAAAGAATCCCCAGCCGGATGGTGGCTCACGCCTATAATCCCAGCACTCTGTGAGGCTGAGGCGGGAGGATTGCTCAAGGTCAGGAGTTCAAAACCAGCCTGAGCAAGAGCAAGACTACTTCTCTACTAAAAATAGAAAGAAATTAATTGACCAACTAAAAATATATAGAAAAAATTAGCTGGGCATGGTGGTGCATGCCTGTAGTCCCAGCCACTCAGGAGGCTGAGGCAGGAGGATCACTTGAGCCCAGGAGTTGGAGGTTGCTGTGAGCTAGGCTGATGCCATGGCACTCTAGCCTGGGCAACAGAGTGAGACTCTATCTCAAAAAAAAAAAAAATCTCCAAAGAAAATTGATTGTAAAAAGAAGAAATCATTTCCAACCTGCGTTTTGTCACTCAGTTAAATAAAAAGCAGATTACATCACAGCCCCTTGCTTTTGTTTTACTACAGGGAGACTGTTGAGCTAGGATCTGGTGGATGAGAAGGATTTCAGTAGGCTAAGGTGAGAATGAAGGGACTCAAGATAGTGAGAATGTCAAGCAGAGACAGAAAGAGAGAAGTGAAGTATGCATAGGCAAAAATAAAGGACTTGCTGTCAATAGAACTAGGTTTACATTTCTACACACTGCTAGTCAGTGAAGTGACCTTAACAATTTACTTAACTTTCTGAGCCATAGTTTCCTCTTTTGTGAAACTAAGATAATACTTCACAGGCATATTGTTAGGATTAAGTGAAAATATATATACATATATATATGTATATACACATATATATGCAAACGCTTTATGCACTGGCTATTATTATTATAGCTTTTTAAAAAATTTTTTACTATTGTAGTCAAATTACTATGTTTTAGAGTTACTTGGAATAGTTTCTGTGGGTATCCATTAACTAGATTCATATTTCAATTAAATTATTTTCAGTGTTTGATTGCTTTAAAACTTTTTGTTTTATAGTTTTAAAAACTGTTTCCGAAGTAAAATCTACAAAATGGTACAGAGAACCTAGCTTCTATCCTTGTCCCTTCCTCCTTCCCTTTGTAGATAACTATTTTGTGTGTGTTACAGTTGATTATTCATTTTTTTAAAAATTTCAGCAAATGTATATATCTTAGTTCTCTGTTTCCTAGGTAGCATTGGTTCCTACTTCTTGTTCCTGCTTATAGTCCAACAGAGGAATAATCTTTTTTTTTCATAGCCCTTTAGTTGTTTAAAGATTGCCATCATTCCTGCCCAACTCCCAGTTTTTAAGTTATATCTTTGTGCCTTTAAATAAAAGTAGTAGGTAGTAGCTAACATTCTTTTGTCCTTAAAATGTGAGGTTGATTCCTTTATCAGCTTTGCACAACAAAGAAAGTGAAAACAAAAAAGATAAAGTTATTTGCCCATAATTTTACACAGCTAATAAGTAATGGAGCTACAGTTTAAACTCAGACATGGACTCCTAACTACTCTACTGCTGCTCTTCTCACCTGGGATATATTCCTGTCGGTTTTCTTTCCTAAATCTCATTGTCATTTTAGTAAAATTTGTCCCATACTGTAATATTCCAATGTGGTATAACAGGAACCTCTCTTCCCTCTTAATTTCTTTACTACTTCAGTCTAAGATAACCCCAATCTTTTTTTAATGGTGGCTATATCACATTTCTGTGAATATTTAGTATGTTTTCTGCTAAAAACTCTTAATTCTCCCTTCCCCCATCTGCTTTTAGCTATACATCCTTCTCATCCTGCACTTATACATGGAATCTTCAGTGAATTTAAACCTGAAATAAACATTGGTGCATTTGAGATAATTGGAGGTCTAAAAGAGTTCGGAGACTAGCTGTGTTATAAGTCTGTCTCTCACTCTCCCCTCTGCCCTTTTGTGGATCTTTTTGATTCTATTTGATTACTTAAAACCTTACAGTAGCAAATATCCTTCTCTTTTGGTATGGAGTTAAAAGCATCAAGTTTTGGGGGGAACGCTGTCAGTATTAATATTTTTTAACAGAATTTTAAGGCAATCAGAAACTTATGAAATTATTAATTTCTGAATAAATCTCTTAAATTTATTTCTCCCCTCAAAATGTATTAAAGTAAATGTTTTTTTCTTTTATACTTTGATTAATAATATAGCTACATTAATTTTCTCTTTCTAATAAAATTCAGCATCAGTATTTAAGATTTCAGTGGACCGCAATTTTTTTGTATTCTGATTATTTTCTTTTTATTTCAGCCTTAAAAAGGCAATTATTGAAGGGAACTTTTCAGTACTAGGTTAATTTGAGATCTAGCTAAAATTTTCCTATTTGTTGGTATTTGCTTGGTGAGTTTGGTTTCCTAAGAATGTTTTAACTTATTTCTTCATATTCTTTGTTTTTTATTGAGTGACAGTCATACTATTCAATTCGAAAACTTCTCTGCTTAATTTTTCCACCTCATGTCTTAATTCCAAAGATGGTTTGTGTTGTTGAGGTTTGGGTTTTACTGGGGTTACAGGAAATGAGTATTCAGCGGGAGTTGCCTAGCTGAGAAGTATTCATACTAGTAATCAGTCCTCCACTGGGGTTTTCATAGTGTTTTTATTCTTATAATTTGGGACTCTATTTTTACTGTCATTTCAATGCCTTAATATTATTTTAATGATTTAGATTTAACTAAATCTTTTATTTAGTCCCAGAAACCTGAACAAGTATAGCTTTTAGTTAGATTAGACTTTTTGATTACTTTACATCAAGTCATTGCTAGGTTAAGTTGATTGCTTTAAGTTGGCCATTTTGTGTTTTTGGTGTTTTTCTTTCCGTTTTGGCCACATGGTAGTTTAATCATCTATGTCTTAAATGTATAAAATAATAGAATTGTTTAAAGTCCATTCTGGAAAGGACTTAGAACTTATCTAATTCATTTCCCTCACTTTAAATATGAAGGTGGTGATCCCACAGGTCCTTAGGCCTTTATAGTTTAGTGGGAGAGCTAGAACTTTAACATTTATTTTGATTCAGTCAGGTGTTGGAGTTATTTTCATTATTCTGTACCCCACACCCTCTTTTGAATTTTGTATGTCATTACTGAGCAATTAAATAATTATCTCCAGAAACCTTCCCTGATAAATCTAACCTCAAGAGTACTTCTTCTTTGACATATCTCCTAAATGGCAAAGACTGTTTGAACCCAGATCTGCCTGACTTCAAAGCTTATTATATAGCTTTGAAAACTGCTCCAAGTAGGAGTGATTTTAAAGTTTCAGTCCAATTCACATTTTCTTCTTCCTTAATTTTTTCAAAGAATTAATTGTTATATAGCCTTTTATTTCTTTCATTTGATATATTTTTAATCTTTTTTATGTGATGTCATTTGGAAATATATTTCTCTTTTATTTTAAATACTCAAAGCATTTAAGTACCTATTTATAAAATAATATGCTGAGGATTATATGGAGTTATATTTAATACATTGGCTGATAGTCTCTGCATTTTATGTTTATTGTCTCAACCAATACAGAAATAAGTACTAGGTATACAGATATAATAGTACACAGATATTTATATTTTGCATGTGTTACAGGAAGTATAAAAAATTCTTTTATCTAGGAATGTCATATTTTGCTAGAAAGTAGATGGTAAAGGATTTTTCTACTTCATGAACTCTTATAGAATGACAAGAACTATTAGGATTGTGTGGAAAATCATGAATCATTTTATAATATTGTATTCCACAAACACAGTGATTATGATTATAACAGTCATTTTGGATCTGTTTTCACATACTGCAAACTCTATGCCAAGTGTAAGGTATAGTTATCTAGACAATTAACCATTTGCTTAAAACCCAATTCTTTTTTTTTTTTTGAGACAGAGTCTCACTTTGTTGCCCAGGCTAGAGTGAGTGCCGTGGCGTCAGCCTTGCTCACAGCAACCTCAAACTCCTGGGCTCGAGTGATCCTTCTGCCTCAGCCTCCCGGGTAGCTGGGACTACAGGCATGCGCCACCATGCCCGGCTAATTTTTTATATATATATCAGTTGGCCAATTAATTTCTTTCCATTTATAGTAGAGACAGGGTCTCACTCTTGCTCAGGCTGGTTTTGAACTCCTGACCTTGAGCAATCCGCCCGCCTCGGCCTCCCAAGAGCTAGGATTACAGGCGTGAGCCACAGCGCCCGGCCTAAAACCCAATTCTTAACCATGGGTATCCATGACTGGATTTTAAGCTTTGACATTTATGTCTATAATAATGTCTATGGTGATAGAGTTGGGACCCTTGAGAATTCAGTCCTTAGAATTTTGCCTTTCCTTTGGGCTATCTTTTGAGAAAGTTGAATTTTACAAACTATCTCTTAAAAGTGCATTGACTCTGGTCTCTTTAAGATTTTAGCCATGTGCTGAGATTCTTGTTTTAATTAGGGATAGGGCACAAACAGAAATAGAATTATTGCCATTAACTAGCCCTCTTCCATATGGGAAAGTTACTACTGCTATTTAATTATTAAGAATAGAATTAAATGTACCTCTTTGTTGTCTTTGAGGCAATGAATTAATTATTCCAGTGTTTCTTAACTGATTTTTAAGATATATATAAATAATAATTTTAACAAAAACATATCAGCCTAATCTAAACATGGAAAATTTATTTGAAGATCTGGAGAGGGGCTGTTATAAAATATAATAAAACATTTGTCTGAAGCTGTGATCTCAGGGATAAAAAAAAAAAAAAAAAAAAACATTTTGAAAATTAATTGCCCGGATGAAAGTATACAATATTGCATTTAAGACTGGTTGACTTATCTAAGACCTCTTCCTGCTATATTATTTAAATGATGTCTTCTTTTAGCATTCTTATGGGGAGTTAGTAGTTTCATTTCATTGCAGATCAATGATGGGACCACATTTTGGAGAATTAGAGAAAGGGGAGGTGGAAATCTGACTATACATAATCAGAATTTTTGGTATTACAACATTGCTCTAAAGACTTTTTCTAATTTCAGTGTTTTGGGATCTGATCTTTCAATTTAGCTGAAATAGTAGATACAAAGCAATGAGATTATTAAGAAAACTGGTTAAATCTCTTTCTGAATTATTTTTTCTCTTTTTAACTTTTTAAAAATGGGGTCTTGCTTGTTAATCCAGGCTTGCCTCAAGGGATCCTCCCACCTCAGCCTCCCGAGTAGCTGGGACTACAGACTCGTGCCACCATGCCCAGCTGTTTTTTGCTTTGTAATTTATTTTATTTTTAAAATTTAATTAATTAGAGAGAGGGTCTTACTCTGTTACCCAAGCTGGAGTGCAGTGGCACAATCATAGCTCACTGCAGCCTTGAACTCTTGGGCTCAAGCGATCCTCCTATATCAGCCTCCTGAGTAGCTGGGACTACAGTTGCTCGCCACCATGCCTGGCTAATTGTTTTTATTTTTATTTTTGTAGAGGCAGGGTCTTGCTATGTTGCCCAGGCTGGTTTTGAACTCCAGGCTTTAAGTGGTTCTCCTGCCTCAGCCTCCCAAAGTGCTGGGATTCAGTTGTGAGCTACTGCACCCAGCGTGCTTTATAATTTATAAGATTATTGGCGTTAGTGGTAGTGTTCAAATCTGAGCAGTTACAACAGCTAAAGTTTCATTAGGTAGCAATGCCCACAAAATGATTATTTTACTGATTCATCTGTAACTCTCCATTCCTTTGACAGGATATCTACAGAGAAATGGGGTTTGGTCACTATGAGGAAGAAGAAAGCTGTTGGGAGAAACAAAAGAGTGAAAAGAGAAGCCGGCCTCAGAACCGAAGCCGTAGCCGATCTCGAGAACGGGATGGCCACTACAGTAATAGTCACAAATCCAAATACCAAACAGATCCTTATGAAAGAGAAAGGAGTAAAAAACGAGACCGAAGCAGAAGTCCAAAGAAATCCAAAGATAAAGAAAAATCTAAGTACAGATGAAAGATAAGAGGCAGAAATGAGTGGCTGACATACTCACCCTTGTCTGACTTAGAGTACCAGGAAAGCAGGTGTTCAGATTTTGTGTCAAAACAGTTAAAGGCTGTGCTTGTTATTTTTCTCATACTAGGATATGGCCCTTTTAGATTAATACTGATTGTATAGGGCACTGAAAGATAAAGAATTGAACATTTTCTTTGTATACATTTTTCACATTAATTTTATTGTTATATATAAATGGTAGTCTTCATTTTTAAGTCACATTTTCACTCTTTTTTAAATGAAGTATTTCATACTACAAAAAATATATAAACATGTATAAATAAAGTATAAAGAATAATAAATGTAAATATCTGTGTACCCATCAGCCAGCTTAAGAAATAGACTATTACCTACATTTTAGAAGTCCACTATGGGCTGTCTCCCTCTCAAGTAATTATTCTGCATTTTGTGTTTGTCATTGTTATTATAGTTTTACAACATATGTATCCCTAAATGAAATCTTAATTTTGTATGTTTTTGAATTTTATATATGGCATAATATATGTTTACTTCTGTGACTTTCTTTTTCCAATGTAGCATTTTTTGAGAGCCATTCATTTTTTATTGCTATATAGTGTTACATGAATATGCCACAAATTATTCTTCTGTTGATGGACATTTGGGTTTTGTGTTTGTTTTGTTTTCACTGTTGCAAATGATGCTGCTGTGAACATTGTCTATTTAGGCGTGATATTGCTTGGTCATGTGGTATGGGTATCTTCATCTTTCCAAGATAATGCCACATTTTATTCTGAAACAGCTGTACGGCACACTGAGTAGCTGTTATTTCACATCATCTCCAACAGTTGTTAACACACTGACTGCCGCACTAGGGGAAAAAAAAATTTTTCCCTGGGGCTATGATATTTTATTAAAACTGTGCTTTCTAATTTGTTATTTTTTATTGTTTTCTGTGGGTGAGTTATATGCAATGCAATCCATGTTTTTAGGATTAAATTGTTAGTGTTAATTGTAAATAAGAACATCAACAAGATTTTCGCAAACCAACTATAGAGTTTTGCTTCACAAGGCACCGGGCTCAAAACTAGCCTGAGTTAAATATAACTCAAATAGTAGTCAATGTATTAAATTTGGACTTTTAAATTTTGCCATTCTAATGGACGTTAAGTGGTTATCTTATGATTTCCAGCAAGAAGACTACTGTTCTTACTTTTGTTCTTCTCTGTGTAAAGTTGTTTTTTTTTTCTGGCTGCTTTTAAGGTTTTTCTCTTGATCACTGGTTTTAAGCAATTTCATTATGATGTTCATGATACAGTTTTCTTTCATGTCTCTTCTGCTGTGGCTATTTACCTGTTTATTGTTTTCATCAAATTTGGAAATTCTGAGACATTTTTTCTTCACTTATGTTTTTCTGTCTCTCTGCTCCTTTTTACTTATCTCCTGGAGTTTTAGTTATTAATACTTGTATGTATGTTAGGCCACTTGAAATTGTCTCACAGCACGCTGATGCTCTTCAGGGTTTTTAAAGTCTTTTTTCCTCTCTGTTTCATGTTAGTTTCCATTGCTATGTCCTCATTGTTCATTAATTTTTTCTTCTGCAGTATCTAATCTCCTTTTAATCTTACCCAGTGTATTTTTCACCTCAGACATTACATTTTTAATCTTTAGAAGTTCTGTTTGAGTCTTTATCTTCTATGTCTCTCCTTGACATGCTCATGCTTTCCTTTATTTTTTTGAACATCTCATACACACACACACACACACACACACACAAAATAGCTGTTTTAATGTACTTGCCATTCTGTATCATTTCTAGTATGTTTCTATTGATTTTTTTTTTTTTTTTTTTTTTTTTTTTGCAACCTGCATTGCTCAGGAATGTTTCTATTGATTTATTCCCACCCAATCCCAACTCTTCCCTACATCCTGCCTACCCCTGCCCCCCATTGGATTGTAATTTTCTTCTTTGCTTGCCTGGTAATGTTTGGTGGTTATGTTGGGTGCTGGAGTTTCTGTATTCAACTGTCTTGAGCTTTGTTCTAGGACATGATTAAGTTACTTGGAAGCAGTTTCATCATTTCATAGCTTGCTTTTAAGCTTAATGAGTTAGGACCAGAATTGCCTTTAATCTAGGGCTAATTTGACCCACTACTAAGGTAATACCTTTCTGAATAATCTTCCCTATTACACGGTTTCTCCACTCTGCCTTCTGGGAACATGAACTATTCTGAGCCATGTATGAGCTCTCAAACTGTACCTTCTGTTCCTTTCTCATAGTTCTTTCCCAGCCTTGAATAGTTTCCTCACATAAGCTGATTGGTGTTTAGCTGAAGAGACCAGAGGGGAACCCTCTGGAGCTCCCTCCCTCTCCAATACTCTGCCCTACACATTTTACCTTGGCTCCCCTAAATTCTCTATGCAGGAAGTTTATTTCTCTAGCCTAGTGCTACAGCCTGGGAATTCCATGTAGTAAGCTTGGGCAATTGTGGGGCTTTCCTTGTTTGTTTTCCTTCTTTCAGGAGTCACTGTCCTGCATTGGCTGTTGTCCCCGTGTCTGGAAAACTTTGTTGTGTATATTTTGTACAGGTTTTTTTGTTTTTTTCTAACAGGAATTTGAAAGAATGTATAGGTTTTTAATTTAAAATAGGGAAGTTAAATAATGCCTCTGTTACCCCATTTTAACAGAGTAAAAGCTAATTATCATTTGGATTTGTACTTCCTAAATGCTAACAAGGCTGAACATCTTTTCACTTATATTCATTTTTGATTGTTCTCTGTGAAAAGCTTGTTTCATGTCTTTTGCCCATTTATATTAGGTTATCTTTTTCTAACTAATTTCTTTAAAGAGGCTTTTTTATATATTGTAGATACTAAGAATAAGTCAGGGAGTGTTTCTGTTTTCTTGGAAGTGAAGAAAAAGATTTAAATGATCTATTCCTTGAAAGTTGGATAAAGCTTGCCTATAAAATTGAACCTTGCATTTATTTTATGAGAAAATTTCTTAACTATTGATTAGATTTCAATTATTATAGAGTTGTTAGCTTTTCTATTTCTTTAGTGTCAATCATTTTTGTTATTACCTTTTTCTGGGAAGTTGTCATTATCGTAGTTTTTAATTTATTGACAAAGTTGCTCATAGTTTAGCTGGTGGGTTTTTACTTCCTTTTATTTTTTATTGATTAATATCCTTATGTTTTATTGAGTGTCATGAACAGTATATAGTTAGATTATTTTTAAATGTAATCTTTAACTGGTGGATTTAGTGCATTTTGTTGTTTACTGATATATTTGGATTTATTCCTACCACTTTATTTTGTGCTTTTTCTGTCTCTACCTCCCTCATTTTTGGGTGATTTACTTTATTTCCACTCCCCCATTTTTTTGTTTTGGGAAACTGCCTTTGAATTTTACCATCCACACTTAACAGTGTAATGTTAATATTTTTACCTTCCTCTCTAATTGAGAGAGTCTTGGAACTCTTTATGTCACTCTTCTTAAGACTTTTGGGCTGTAATCATCCAGTATTTTGAGTCTTAGCTTATGATTTTTTTTTTGAAACAGAATCGTTCTCTGTCATCCTGGCTAGAGTACAGTGGTATCATGGTAGCTCACTGCAACCTCAAACTCCTGAGCTTAGCCCAGGCCTCAGCCTCCCAAGTAGCTGAGACTGGAGGCATGTATCACCATGCCCAGCTAATTCTTTTAAGTTTTGTAGAGATGGGGTCTCAATATATGGCCCAGGCTGGTCTCAAACTCCTGAGCTTAAGCAATCCTACCGTCACCTTGGCCTCTCAGAGCACTTAGGATTACAGACATGAGCCACCATGCCCGGCCTATTAGCCTGTGATTTTTAACCTTAAAATTAGACCTTCAGCTGGGCATGGTGGTGCACACCTGTAGTCCCAGCTACTCAGGAAGCTGAACTGGGAGGATCATTTGAGGCTGCAGTATGTTATGATTATGCCTGTGAATAGCCACTGCACTCCAGCCTGGGCAACATAGTGAGACCTCAAATCTTAAAAAAAAAAAAAAAAATTAGACCTTGTGATTATTATTGCTTTTATATAAATAATTGTTTAGATTTACCCATGTGTTAAAATAGTTGTTATTTCTCTTGCATCTCAGACCATTCACCTAGGAAAATTTTCTTTTTCTTCTTCTTTTTCTTTTTTTTTTTTTGAGACAGAGCCTCACTCTATTGCTCAGGCTAGAGTGCCGTGGCATCATCCCAGCTAACAGCAACTTCAAACTCCTGGGCTCAAGCGATCCTTCTGCCTCAGCCTCCCAAAGTAGCTGGGACTACAGGCATGTGCCACCATGCCCGGCTAATTTTTTCTATATATTTTTTTGTTGTTGGCCAATTAATTTCTTTGTATTTTTAGTAGAGATGGGATCTCACTCTTGCTCAGGCTGGTTTTGAATTCCTGACCTTGAGCAATGTGCCCGCCTCAGCCTCCCAGAGTGCTAGGATTACAGGCATGAACCACCATGCCCGGCCGGAAAATTTTCTTTCTTACTGAAGCAAGTCCTTTGAGGTTGCTTTAAGTGACAATCTGTTGATGGTGACTCTTAGTTTTTGTTTATCAGAAATGTTTTTAATTCACCCATGTTCCATAAAGTTGATTTTCTGTATACAGAATTCTAAGTTGACAGTTACTTTTTCTCAGTACTTTGTCTTTAACAGTCTTTTGACTTTTGTTATAGCTTCAGAGATGTTTGTTGTCATTCCAAATGTCATTCTTCTGGATGTAATATGACTTTTCTTTCTGGCTGCTTTTTTGCTATTTTTTTAATTAAAGTTTTAACTTTTAAATCAATTGTAGAATAATGCAGAGAGATCCCATGTACTCTCTACCCATTTTCTCCCAGTGGTACCATCCTGTAAAACTGTAGTATATTATCATAACCAAGATGTTGACATTGACACAGTAGCAATATAGACTATTGCCATCATTACAAGGACCCCTCCTGTTGTCCTTTTATAGCCACACCTACCTCCCTGCCACTTGCATTTCCTCCTTAACCCCTAGCAGCAGATCTGTTGAACATTCCAATAATTTTGTCATTTCAATGCTTTTATATAAGTGGAATTATAAAGTATGTGGCCTTTTCGGGGGAGCTGATCATAGTCCCAAAAGACACAATCCAGAACTCCATAATCCTGATTGTTGAAATCCTGAAAGATCAAAATCTCTAAACTCTAAAATCCTGAAAATCACAGTTCCATAAATATAATTCTGGAAAATATAACTTAAAATGCTTTAAAATATATTTATATTTTAAAAGGGGATTTATTTGAAAGACATAAAAAAAGCAGGACAGAACACTTTATAGGCCTCTTACACAATAAAATAGACAATAGAATACATGTTTTTGCAGGCATAAGGTATATTAATGACATACAGGTATAACGGTTATAAGCAGACAAACCGTATTTGTAAAGAAACAGGTCAAAAAGGAAAATGTATACATCCATATCAAGTTAGTAATTATGTACACCCAGCTTTATAGCTGCAGTCACCTGAATAACTGAAGAACAACCGATTTTTTCCCACCTACTCCCCTCAGACTCACACACTAATCTCCACTGGAAACACTCATAGATACACTAAATGCTTTAGCAGGTTTCTAGGTATTCCTTAATCTAGTCAAATTGGCAAAATTAAGCCCACAAATCCACACCATGTCAATTTGGCACATACACATATCTCCTTAAACCATACTTAATTTCCAAATACAACAACAAGGTAATAGTTCTGCCTAATATACAGAGTGCAATTGTTAGGTCATATAGTTACTGTATAATTGAAACTTTTAAGAAACTGCTGTTTTCCAAGGTGGGTCCAACCATCATACATTCCCACCAGCAATGTATGAGTGATCCAGTTTATCCACGTCCTCGCCAGCATTTGGTGGTGTAACTATGTTTTATTTTAGCCATTTTGATAGGTATATAGTGACAGCTTATTTTGGTTTTCAGTTCTGTCTCCTTCATTGCTAATGATACTGAACATCTTTTCATATACTCATTTTGCCATCTGCATATATTTTTCAGTGAAATGTCACTATGTCTAATTGGATTTTCTTTTCTTTTTTGAGTTTTAAGAGTTCTTTATATGTTTGTCATACGAGTTCTTTGTTGGATGTATTGATTGCAGATGTTTTCTCCCAGTGTATAGCTCGTCTTTTCATCTTAACAGAATTTTGCACAGCAAAAGATTTTTAATTTTCCTGCCATTTACCAGTTTTTCCTTTTCTGGACTGTTGTTTTTTGGTCTCAAAAGAAATAACTCTGCCTAGCACTAGCTTCTGAAGTTTTTCTCCTTTTTTTCCTCCCCTAGAAATGTTGTCAATTTAAGTCTGTGATCCATTTTGAGTTAAATTG